TATCAAGCTCTTTAGTATAGTTAGTCGTGAGAGTTTGTTAGTTTGGTTAGTGTGGCTCTTTAGTTAGTCTTTGAGAGCACACTAACTTAGTGTAGTGACATAGCCATTGTGTGGATAGAGACTATAGAAACTAGACTTGTAGTAGGTGGCTTATATTTTTAGTAGGCTAACGCAACACTCACTTCATCTTATATTTATCTAACCGTTTTGTTAAATGTTATTGTAGAAATTTTTGATAGGCTATTCATCCCCTCTATAGCCATTAGGACCTTTCCCTACCTCTATTGATATGTCATAACTTTTTAGTCGAAATATCTAAATTTACGTGAAGTAACTATTTACAAAATTTATTCCCACAGAATTTTAATAGAATTTAAAATGTAATATTGTCATTGGTATCAACTTTTTTATGGAAATATTTTTCATAATTGCTAAAATACAAGAATATATATTTATATTTAACGTAGGTATATATGTCTAATTTGTACAGATGGTGAAACAACATTTATGTTTACAGTAAATTTAATAGAGGTAGAACTGTGTTGGATAGTTTAAAGGAAAATTTGGTGTTATTTTAAATTATCTCTTCATAATGTTATAAGTTGGTAGTTTGGACGTGGATTTAGGGGGTTATTATTTAGGAATTTGGTGTTTGTGCCCGTATTCTAGACTGCAATGGTGATTTTATCCTTACTTTTTAAACTTTGTGATTTTACCCTCGTCGCTTAAAAACGAAACCATGGTTTACCCCTATTTTGTGACACCATTAGATTTGAGTGGATTAAACGACTAAAGAAAAAAGAAAACAAAAGATGCCCACGCAAAAAGACCAAAAAGCCCTCACCTTATTTTCCCCAGCTTTCTCACCTGTGACCCGTTCATCCCCTTCGTGTTCGCTCAGATGCACAGGAGGGTAGGGTTTCATCGTCGGCGAGGTCATCAGGCGGGCCGCCCCTGGCTGCACACACTAGGCGCGGCGGCGGCTCCAGGCGAACGCGCATGGGAGGCGCGGCGTCGGCTCCAGGCAGCCGCGTGGGATCGAAGGTACATTGCCCGGGCCTCGCCTCGCCCGCTCTCCTTTCCTCCTCTTGTTGCGCCATGCTTAGATTATGCCTCGCTCCCTTCCTGCATCTAGACGAGCGCCGGTGTTCGGAAATGGATCTGCTGCTGCGATTGGGACCCTATGAAACAGCAGCCTTGGCAACAGCGGGCGGCCGCAGATCTGCCGTTGGATCAGCTCCAGGCTTAGGCGGTTCTACGCTTTCCTTTGCCTAGTATATGACTCGAAGCAACTAGCGGCAGCCCTCAGTTGTTAGTTCTGCTTACTACACATGTGTATTTCTATTCTTTTCCGATTATATATGGCCAAACCCCAGGCCATGTCAAGTACAGTAGCAAATTTTTTACTCCTACTAAATCGGATCCAAATTATAATTTGTTTTATTTTTTTAACTGAACATTTGCTAATAAGCAAGCGACAACCAAAGAAATGATATTTGATACATTTTTTTTGAATAAGATGCGTGGTCAAACTTGAGATAAAAAAGTCAAATGAATTATAATTTGGAACGAAGAGAGTACTAAATAAGCAAGAGCACCTCAGGCCTGGTGATGACAACTTAGAAAATTTGGAACGCCTAGGCATTACTGCATTAGACACTAGTAGTACGAATTAGCAAACCTAACTGAATGTTTAATGGTTACTATTCTTTGCTATCTTAATTAAATTCCAGGATGTCCTGGTGATGTGCTCGAAGATGTCCCATTGGGAGGCTTAAGGTATATATGTCTACGAGTTGCCGACCAAGTACAAGAAGATGGTGGCTAAAGATTCTAGCACCCCATTCGTTTAAACTTATCAGCCTGAGTTATGAGCCATGGAACAATGTCTCTCACAACAAATCAGCTTCAACCGGCTTATCAGCCGTAGAAATTATCAGCCTCAGCCACATGTTTGCTACAGAGATCTTTATGCACCTCTTCCTATTATCTAGTGTGATCCAGACTTTAAATCCAGAAGAAGCTGATTTGTTCTATAACTTAATGTGAGCTCACTACTAGTTGCCCAGTGAATTCACCACTACTTTAGGCTTGCTAGTTAGCTTATGAGATGTCATGACTCACTACTAGTTAATGTGACTTGGTATGTTGCCATCAATGATGATATATGTGTGTAATAATAATTTATGTTTATATGGATTTTTAGTTGAAACGCTATTGAATTTTTCTAAAAATTGTTGAGTTTTGTACTTGATTGAATTGTATAATTTTGTATTAAAATTACCAAATTGTTGATAAAAAATAGGGGTAAAAACTCAAATATCAAAATAAAACAGAGGTAAAAACGTATTGGCAAAGTTGTTCTTTCATTCAAAAGTTAACACTATTAAGTGGACTTCACATAATAGGGGTAAAGACTTTCTTCATTTAAAAATTATAGGAGTAAAATCACAAAGTTAAAAAAAAGAGGGCAAAATCACCATTTCGCTCTCAAAACTGGAGTAGAAATGCTTAAGCCCCTATTTTTTCATATCGCAAGAAGTGGGCTTTTTTTAGAAAAATAAATAGATCAATTGTCTATTATTCTCTAGATGATTAGAGTCAACCAAATTAATTGCCACATATTTGATATTTCTGAGTATTGTGAGAATTTATAGGATTTTTTCTTACATATCTTGTGAAGTCATGAATATATATTTTAACTTTCAACTATTGATCTTATTAGCTATTTTTATTTTGTACGTTCTATCTTAGCTACTATAATAGCATTGGGAATCATGTCAGCATGCAGCATAATACTCAGGATGTTGAATTTGCTATATCTAATAACTATATATATAGTAATATTGTTTTGTAATAATATAAGAGTGCTTACAATTAAATTATAATCATTGATATAACATAATGTTTCAATCAAAATATATAAACTTATCTAAAATGACAACTTAGAAAATTTATTGCCACAGAGCATATTATATGATTTAATGGCAAGTGTTAATGCCATGGTTATGCAATTTGTTAGGGGTAGATTTTTTTCACGATTGATAAACTATTTATCTATACATGTTTACTTTGTCAACATGGTGGCACATATCATTGCTGCTTACTTTCAATTTAATAGCAATAGAACAGTTAAATTTGGAAACATATATAGCATACTTTATGGTTATTGAAATATTTTCCATAATAGTTTATATTGATGTTCCGACATAGATTTAAGAAATATTGTAGTTTAATTTTTAAGAAAAAACAATAGAGGTTGGTTAGTTAGATACAAATTAAAGGGATTATTTTATATTATATTTGGTATTGACATATGTAGGTAATATAAAAGCAAATTTAGGGGGCAATTTGCATTATCTTTCGTAAGGTCAAAGTTGGCTAATTTAGATTTAAATTTTGGGGTAAATTTGCATTGTTTTTCATACTGATACAGGCAAACAATTTAGATACAAATTTGGGAGATTGTCACATTATTTTTCATAATAGCAAAGGTTGGTAATTGAGATGCAAATTTAGGGAGTTACTTTAAGTATTTATCACAATGATAGAGATGGGTAAATTTTTAGAAAATAGGATAGATCAAATAACTATTTTTGTGGTGATGATGATTAGACTCTACCAAATTAAAGACTGTGTATTTCATATTATTGTGAAAATTTCTAGGTTTTATTTTTTTCCTAGCATGTATCATGATGATTAGTGTGGAGGCTCTATTGGAGGCCACCAACTAGTAATAGAATGATGTCCATTTGACCCCACTGAACTTGTCGTTAAATCTAGATAACCTCCTGAACTTAATAATTAGAAATCTTATAAACTCGACCTCTCAAAACTAGACAAATTACCTCCTACATTTGTTAAAGGTGGTTTTAAGGCTAGTTTTAGCTACATCATCCTTTTTTAGTTAAAAAATCCTATAAACATTACATAAGGGTTTTTAAACCACAAAAAATATCTTCAAGCATATGAAAATCCGAGAAAAACCCTAGAGAAATCTTAGTGATATATTACAACAATATACACTCAAATAAAATATTTAGAGATTGTAAAATTATCTTTGGAGGACTTTTAAAATTGGATTTAGCTCTAGAAAAAGGGAAAAATATTATAACGTGCCTCAAACATTCTAATCCATGTCTAAACACATTTTGAAAACTTTTCACAACAAAAACATGAGATGCAATCAGCATGAATGCAACATACAACAGAAACATGAGATAATTTTACAAGCTCCAAATGTTTCATTTGGGTGCATTTTGTCCTAATGTATCTTAAGGAGTTTTTGAGGCTTTAAGATATTTTTTCTAGTTTTAAAAACCTTATCTAGTGTTTACCATATTTGTTTTTGAATAAAAAAAGGAAGAGGTGACTCAAAACTACGTTTTTAACTACTGTAGTTAATTTTTCTAATTTTGAAATATGATGATGTAAAATTTCCAGGTTTTTGAGTCGAGAGATGTTTTCTAGATTCATTGACAAGTTTAGGGGTCAAACGGATTTCAATCTGAAAAATATATTGAGATTGTTTCAGTGAAATATTCAGGTGTAACATCTTCATTAACCGAAAGATGAAGTTCCAAACCGAACCAAATAATGTTTTTGATGTGATTAAAAATGAGGCTTATGTTCAAAACACAAAACATGTAAACTGTTGTGACGTGCTTCTGTTGTCCACCAGAGATGCCTCTCCGCCTCTCATCCCCTACAATTGTATCGGCACATATCTCAAGTCCTAGAATCTGCAATGTTCCAATAACATACAAGTAAAATGGTGAACCAGACATGGACCTATTGATACTAGTTCAGTTGATAACACTGACTTGAAGCTGTAACTTAAAGAGAAGCCATACCTTCAGAACATAATCAGTTACAACGTTGGCCTCTTCTCCCTCGATAGCAGACGCCTAATAATTATGAAAAGTCAAATAAAGGAATTATACTTGGTTTCCAGATTGAAGATCAGCTCTAAAACTCTGTTTATGTATAGGTAAGGAGAATTATTTTGTCTTCATAAATGCGTCGATGTCAGCATCAGGTATGATGTATGCTTCCTTCTCGCGCCTCAGCAGCTCGGAGAGCATATCTAACAATATAGTAAAGAAATGGAAGGAAAACTGAGTCTGAAAGCAGCAGAAAAATGAGTGCATGGGCTTCCGATTGATTTCCGGAGTCATACCAAATCGAGCACCGACACCCTGGCACCGTGCAGAGAAAGCAAGCGTCTCTCTAACGGTCAGCTCTGGGATGTGAAGGTCATGCTGGCTGATGTATGCAGACGTCCTCTCTGGCACAAACTCATCTATCCTATGCCCATTGTAGGTAACCCTTCCGGAAACCTGCAATGTATATATTCCCTGTTCGTTGATGCTGAAATTTGACTTATGCTGATGTTTATGTTGAAATATTGTGAGAGAAAAATATTATTCTATGGCTGAAAAGTAGTTCTGAATAAGCTCAAGCGAACAGGGCCATTATCATTGCCACATTTCAAAACGTGTGATAATGTTTATTAGTTTGGATCATTCTGTTTCTGCAAAAAGATGGCGCATTCATTTAAAATTACTTTACACATTTGTACTGATTATGAAGTGCTTGCTGGTGAAACATGCATTCCTGGGCACGCATATAGATTGTAGTTTGAAGTTTGAACAAAATCAATTTATTGATATTCGCATTTATGTACATTTGCAAACAGTTTAAAAACTCACAAACCTTGAGGTCTTTATCAAGCCTTCCAGCCAATGCCAGTAACAAGGTGGTCTTGCCTGACCCAGGTGGGCCTAAAAGCAGAGTCATCCTGCACAAAACCAACAGGATGCCACAAGAAGAAGGCAAGGCAGAAAACCAAACTGGGTTATTATTAATAGTTACTAGGATGCAAAAGAATTCAACATCAGAATACAATGCACATCTGAGCAACAAAAATGTGTTATGAAATAGAAATAACTGAGGGTCCACGTACATATGCAACGGAGTTCTGATCATATTTTTACATTAGCCAATTACCAAAAGGCCACTAAAAAAAGTTTCTAATTCTATATCTACCATGGCAGCCACTGAGTTGAATTTCTCTGGACCTTAGTGCCACTGCCGTCTATTTTAGATGTAATGGCAGCTAAAAGCAAGATGAAATGACTATTTTACCATTGGCTCATCATGCAAAGCAAAATTTCACGGTTGCCTTCAGTGCCAGTACATGACGCAGATCACATTCCAAAAATCCACAGTTTTTGGGCCCCTTTGGATTGTAGGAAAAACATAAAATTTCCATTCCTATGGATTTGAATTACTGTAGCATCGTTTGGTTTGCAGGAATTGCTCATACGAAAAATATACAAAACTTTCCTTTGTGTTCGATTCCATGACTGAAAGAAAAATGGAGGAATCGGAAAAACACAGCAATAGGATGTTCAGGCGACTAGTTTGACGGAATGCTGGAGAAACATGGTCAGCAGAGGAATGCAATTTTGATCCATACCACTGCCGAAGGTGAGGATGGACTCGGAGGACATTGGTATCTACAATTCGCAGGCGCCCACGGCGGCGACGATGATATCCTGATCATCTTCGTGAACAATAGCTTGAGCTCCATGACCGCCTCCATCCCTTCCTGGGCGTTGTGCGCCTGGGTGCTGGGGCTGTGGGCCAACTTCCATCGAAGAGGACGCGATACAGCCGCTAGGTTCTTGGGGAGAATCTGATGTGGCGCGTGGATGGCTGGACGCGATGCGGCGCCTACCCGTGACAGCGACGAGCCACGGCAGCGAGTTGCTCGTGCTCCGCGGCGGCGGCGGCCATGGGGATGCAACCCTCCCTGGGCCCTGCCGCCTTGTGGTCCCCGAGCCGCCGCCGCGGCTTCCCGTCCCCTTTGGCGGCAGCGACCACGGAGGGCAACCCCGCATTGGCGGCTTCAGGCTACGCCGCTACGGGGACAACGCGGCCGCCTGACCCGCGGTCGGAGCACGCGCGAGCTTTCAGGTGTCCGGAGCCGGTGTAAGGTAGTCGACGCGCGACGGCGCGAGTAGGTTCTCGGATTCAAGAGCGAGAAATGGACGAAATTTCGGGATTTTTCGATCGGGATTCACTTATGTTGACCGGTCAAGAATTCATAATTGATAAAATTTTAAACAAAAATTAAATATAGCATCTGGTCAGAGCGTGACGCCAACGGATGCATCCGGAGTTCGTGCACTCCCCGGCTGCCCCTATCCCTCATCTGAGTGAGGCCGTTGAGCGTTGATACCATGACCACCAGCGGCGGCATTGCCGTCTAACCTGCTGGCCGCCGTCCATGTGCTCACGCGGGAGCTTCATGAGCAAGGGACTCGTTGACGGCGAGTTAGATGATACACTAGTAAGGGCTGCACGTCCGAGGTCGCACATGACTGTAACACCTCTGGTGTTTTGACCTAGAACTAAAACTTGACATGTCATCATGTGCATTGCAAAGCATTCATAAAGTAGAAAATTTTGAATGCATTCACTAAATAAGCTTTATTTCATAAGTTGTTATTTTATGTGATGTAATGTGATTCAAAACTCTGAATGAAAATCAGGACCACAAGGGCCAAATTTCATGTGATCATGTGAGACCATGTGTCATTTGACTCAAATAACCCTAATGGGCCATGTAATTGGTCAAAAACCATAATTAAGTAAAAAGGTAAACAAATCAAATTGAAATCAAATTCAAATTATAAAAGTCCTTTTTACCCCTTTTGTCTATTTCAAAATCCATTTGGAATTTGGGGGTGTGACAAAAAGCAAAGTTGAAGCTTATTTTATAAGGATCAACTTTGGTATTCAAAGTTTTTAAAGTTTACATATAAAATTTGGAGTAATTTTGAAATGATTCAAATGCTCAAATGCACCCCAAATTCAAATTTCAAAATGGAGACAGAATTTGAAAATGTTCATTAAAGCAAAGTTGTAGAGTTTGAAAAGTTGAGCAACTTTCATTTTTGGAGATTTTCAACTTCTTTAGAAAAATTGTGAGTAATTTGTAAAATAAACTCAGTGGCAATTCTGTAATTATTCGAAACAGTAGCACGACCACCGCCCCACCGCCGGCGTCCTTTCTCCGGCCTTCCAGATGTGCCCGAGGCCGCCCTCGGCTTCGCGCTAGCACGAGTTGGTCGCTGCGTGTCGTTCCCTCGCTCTCTTGGCCGCGCTATAAAGCTCCGACGCCGTCGTCGGCTTTCCTTTCTCTCCTCTGTTTCCCGACGCCGCCGTCTCAACTCCGTCGAGCTCCCCTCGACTCCTCAGCGCAAGCCAGTCTCGGCAAAGCAGTGTTCCAGTTTCGTCTCATCCTTGCAAACCCATTCCACCAACTGTGGTTGTCTGAGTCCACCGAGAACAGCCGCTAGCAAGCCTTCTTTCTCGCGGCCGGCGACCTCACCCGAAGCTCCGTTTCACCGCGGTCAGCGTCATCCGGTGAGCCATTGCCCTTGTTTGTTGACTCTACAGCTTCGTCTAGATGTGGTGGTGCTTAATCTGTTCTTGCTTGGTCGTTTTGCCCATTATAGTCGCCGGAACACCGTCGTCGACGAAGTCTGCTCCGCCGTGATCGCTGTCACCGTCGAACCGTGTCACCGTAGCTTCTCCGGTCTCGCTCGTTGCTTCAACGCGTTCTGGGTGAGCTACTGATGTTTCCTGTACTCTTTGTTTCACCGTCAACGGCCTTGTTCTGCCGGCGTAGCGTCGCCATGCTGCCACATCCGCCATGGCCGGTGTCAGCAGTGTTTCGTGCTGTCATTAACCTCCGTAATGCCACAGATCGATGCGCCTAGTCGTTGTGAATATTTTGGTGCTTTGGCCGTCGCCGTTGGGCTCACCGGCGGCGAGTTTGCGTCGGTCAGCGCTGTTATCGTCGCGGTCAAAGCTGAAGCTTAGGGATGACAAGTGGGTCCCGTATGTTAGCGACTGTGTAGTTCAAATAGAATTTTTCTATTTTTAGAAATGGATGAATAGTGTCTATTTTTGTTATTTTTGTGTAGATTTATTTAGAGCTCCAAAAATTATGAAAATATTTGTGTCACCTCTCTGTGATGAATATTATTTAGGAAAAATATGAAACTTGAAATTTGAATAAATTTTTAATGTTAAAAAATTCAGTCAATTAATTGATAAATGCAATTTCCATAATTTTTGTAGGCCACTGTATAACTCCAAAAATTTCGAAATTTATTTTGGTACACTAATTTGTCATGAGGAATCTTAAATAAAATTTTGAGGTCATTTGGAACAAGTTCATTTTGGGCTTAATTCCCAATTAATTCAAAAATGAATAAAAGCAAACCCTAGGTGCTAGTTTAGGGTTTGATCTTGTTTTGGTCATGTTTTGTGACCAGTAGGGTTTCAAGGTCAATTTTGTCAAAGTCACTTGTGTGGTCCTTGATGGTAGAATTGCAAGTTGGTTTTGTTGGCTTGCAACTGTACCGCGAAGGAAAGTTGTATTCAAGGTGTTATTATATTTCATGCACCATGAAAGCATCATGTTTACATTATCATCATGTTGAAGCATATGTTATTATTTCGTGTAGAATCCGAGAGTGAACCGATTCTAGTTGAGCAAGTTATGGAAGAATCCCCGGTTGTCTCAGGATTTGATATTTGTGGTACTGATCCGGAACCCGAGATCATCAACGAAGGCAAGCCCCGGTTTACGCATTAAACCATTACCTTGTTTACTTTGAAAAGTTTATCACCTATGTTAATTATTGCATTAAGTTGATTAATTCAAATGTTACCTACTTAATGCATTGCCTACCTTGTTAATTATTTACCATCCTTGAAGATGATTTCATTTACAAAGGCGTAGAATTGCTTAGTATGCTTTATGGTAGGCTTTCAAAATAAAAGTTTCGATACAATCAAAGATGGCATACTGGCCAAAGAAAGAAAGAAGATAGAATGAACTAGAGACTAGTTGGATGACTTATCTTGAATGTTGGGTAATGTTGTCGACTATGTCGCTTAAAGGCCACTCATTGTGGATCTTCTGAACGAGACACTTTGTAGTACTGGTCACATACTCCGGTAAGCCTACTTCGGCTAATCCGATACTAAGACGAATGCCCACACACTGGGAGTGGAGAGATGGCGGGAGTAGCGTGTACCCTCGTGGCTGGAATGTGGCCGGATTTAAGGTGTGCTGTGCTCTCAGGTGGCGTGGAGACGACTTAGTATGGGAGGATCTGGTAGCGAGATTGATATATGCAAGATTAAGTTCTACATATGTCGTGTGATAAGGAATCCCCAGCTGGGACTTGAATCAATTCGAATTGTCGGTGCTCCGCGGATATGGAGACTCGATTTATTACAGAAGCAATGCAGGACTGGTGAATTACTAAAATATGAGAAAAAGGAATGGAATGAGATTGATTGGAATATGGGATATGAACACTTAGTTTGAGATAATGAACTAAAGTACTTAGGGGTAAAACTTGAAAATAGGATCAAGAATAGTAAGCTTTTGGCAAAGAACTTTTGAATATTGCTACATCCTTACCTTGACCCAACACCTGTATCCCTAAGACCTTCGCCCCTTTTTCGTCGGGTCAGTCTTGTTGAGTAGTTTTGTACTCAGGGTTTGTTAACCCTTGTTGCAGGTGAGTCGCATGCTCAGGCTTGTTTTGGTGCCTGCTGCATGTCAGTGTTTGAAGTCGATGACGATGAGGAATGATGAATGGCCTTTGGACAAGGCTCTAGTTTGTGTGAAATAAATAATATTAATGTAATATTATCCCGCTACTATGGTTGTATGACACTTATGGTTTTGTAAGTTTGAAACAATTG